AATTGGGATCTACAGGACCCATAGATGATTAAAACATGTTTCATTTCATTCAACACTGATTTCTGAGTGAGTTTGAGTAAAATCAAATTTGGGCCAAAATTGAGTTATTTCGCAAGGCTAACCCCTTGCAGATTTTTTCAAAATGTTCACTCTGGATTTTTCATTAAAATTAGGATCTGGAGGACTTATAGATGATTAAAACATGTTTCTTTTCATTCGAAAATGAGATCCCGATGCCTCATCAATGACACATATAGACCACTTTTCTTTTACAAATGATCTCAGAGTGATTTAGAGAAATGTCAAATTTTTGCAAAGATTTTTCACAGTCAAATTCTCATTAAATTCAGATTTAGAGGCCTTCTTACTGATAAAAGGTTCTTTTTATTTAAAACAATTTCTGATTGATTTGGAGAAAAGTTAATTTTTTGACAAACTGTAATTATTTTTCAAGGCTATCCCCTTGCAGAGTTTTGAAATGGAGTCTTCCGTGTTTTTATTAAAACTGCAATAAAGAAACAATGTAGATATTATAAATACATTTCTTTTAATCTCGAATACATTTGAGTAATTCGGAAAAAAATAAATTTAAAAAAATTGATTAACATACAGATTTGGGCTGACGAAATCAATTGCGAACAAAATTTTATTAAAATGCAAGGCTAGCCCCTTCCAATGATAAGTTGGAATAGTTACGATAATAAACAGCAATTTCTTTCAATAGAAATAGTTGAAAAGCAAAATCTCAGATGAATTTATTAACTTGATAAAACAAAAATAACATATTAATATTAATTCAATATGATTTTCATGTACGGCACCTTCATAATTGGATTAAGGTGAATTTTGAAGTTCCAATACGATAGCTAAGGTCAACCCCTAACATTTTTCATTTTGAAGTAAAAAGTTCATACATGCATTTTCTTCGACCGAGATTTCATTACATTATCAGTGGATTTAAAGACACAACCATCTCGCCAAAAGAACTCGAGGAAGTTACACTCACCAAATCGAGGTTTATCCCCCGACCAACAGCGTAGGTTTTGCTTGAATAACATGCAGTCGACGTTGGCTTAGATGTTCTTCAGCGAGGCCAGACAGTGACCTACGCCCACGTGGCCAGCCACATCTCTGAATGTAGAAAGACTGAACACCATCTAATGAAATCAACGTCTGGGTAACGTAATTTTTGACAGCGCCCGACTAAATGCGAAATCGTGGGCGAAGTTATAACCAGCAAGAAA